TTGAAACTCAGAAGAACGACATCAGGAACTCTCTAGAGGACTCCAGACGACGACATGGTACGATGTATAGCCATTTTATATTTAAGATTCTCCATGGTCGTGTGTCGCACTACTGCTTGGGGTTGATTCTCACTGAGCTGAACAGGGTGAGGGACTTGGCTGACGAAGTGTATACTCGGTGTGGGTGTACTATTTCAGTAACTCATGGATTACCTTGCGCATGCACCATTCATCGCGTTATTACAGAAGAAAGGGCGTCGTTACATGTTGATCAGGTCCATTCATTCTGGAGGACGCTTGTTATTGGTGAGCATGCAGACAATCAAACGGCCGACCGTGAACAGGAAGAGTTGGAGCAGTTCCGTTCGATGTACGACCGAGTGTCCTCCAGCCATCCTTCTATTATTCGTGACGCTACTCATGTGCTTCATGACATGTTCCACCCGTCTAACTTAGATTATGAGGAACCCGAAGGAGTTGACCGTCCTCGAGGTCGACAGCGGCGGAACAGGAGTGCGTTTGAGTATATCCGTGGTCTTGGTCGTGGTCGTTCTCGTGGTCGGACATCGTCATCTAGTCGTAGTCAATCTTCATCGTCTGTGAATATGCCCCTGAGAACTGGTACGTTTTGGTTGTTTTTATTGCACATAGTTTTAAAGTGTTACTCCTGTCTTCTTAACTGTCTATAATTAATTATTTGGTGAATAGGAAGAAACGATGTTGATCAGTTTCCGTACAAGGAAAGGATACCTGCGATCATCATGTCGTACGTGGAAGGGTGGAATGATGTAATCGGAGATGGTAACTGCGGATTCCGGGTCGTGGCTGATGTTTTTCAAATGGGCGCTCTCCGGCGTATCCGGTGGGGAGGTGGACCTTGCGGCGAAAATCATTATTTTGACGCGCCCCTAGATCTGTTTGCCGTTGCAAACATTTACAAATGCGCAGTCATGCATTTCGGCCTGGGAGTGCATAGTCAAGCTTATTATCCTTGTACCACGGTTCTCCCTTGGCGGTCGCGTGAGACTGTCACCACACCGGTCAGAGAGCTAGCTATTGCGTTTCTTGGGTCGTCATACAGACATTTCATCCGACTAGACATGTCAACCGATTTTCCGGTGCCACCGATTATACCTCGGTGGTACAACATTCGCACAGCGAGCGTAGAGGGTTGGGATGCGCTATATAATGACCGGATCCACGAATGGAACACCCTAGCTGCATTTTAGTTTTTCTTGTTTACATTCTTTATTTGTAATCTTATTTGTACGTTGCTCTTTTAATGAGAACATTAATATTTTATATTGTATTGCTTACTGCATTCTATATGTTGCATGGGTAAGTTGCGCGGATCCACGAACGGTTATATCAAAATTTAAAAACAGCACTGATAATATGTTTAAGTTGGAAGCTAAAAGAACAATCTAAAATGTTACAATTTTACAACATAATGTCCAACATAATGCTCTATAAATAAAATACAATAACCATCAGTAATCCCTCCTCGACGACGACTCCCACTGCGCAAGGGTCTGTTCCAGACTATCAACAACAGCTCTCCCTGTTGCACTCATGCTGTCCTTCTCAAGAGAGAGTTTCTGAACGTCTTGCATTATCTTTCCCATCCACTGCATACAACAAAAAACAGAAGATAAAATACAATAACAACAAATAAAACTTAATTAAAAGACAACGATAAATATAATAAAAGACATACCGCTTCCGTGGCAGTAGGCGGTGGCACACAATCATCATCGCTGTGGTCGAGATCAGCGATCAACCTCGGGTGCGAATACCGGTTGAACCATTCCATGTAGTAATGGTCACACATGGGAGTAACCCCAGAGGCGGCCGCTGCAACTCCGCTGTCCATAATCGAGCCACCATCGGAAACTGGTCCCACGTCCCGGTCATGATATCCGGCCATTCCACGACGTACTCCCTCGACGATGCAGGTCGGACCGCCTTCATCGGGCACGCCGGGGGAGGAGGGACAACTTGGACAAATCCAAGTTGGCGAAGACAACGCTGGGGCATGTACGCTTCGACGATGTCACGATACTGAATGAGTCCCGTGTACAGGGTCCTGGGTACCCTAACACTAGGGTTCGGGCCGAAAGGCATCCAGTTCACCTGTACAATTACAACATATAAAATATAATAACATGAATATAATATGTGCAAATAATAAAATGTAGACTCTATAAATAAACGTTACCTCTAAGGGGGACAGCCTGTCCAGCAATAACCGTATCGATCGGAGGCGGTCAACGGACTTCTTCTCCGAGCGGGGACTCCACGCACAAGCACGCGGCATCCCCTCATCAATAGGAACTGGGTCACGATGTGGTCGCAATGCAGGAAAATACTCGTATATCCAAGTCTGCAATAGAGTCAGACACCCAGTGATACCTGCCGCGTCAGCCCGACTCGCAAATCCTAGTTGGCGATACAAATACGCCAACGTAGCCGATCCCCAGGAAAACTGGCCTACACTGTCGGGGTCACACGCCTCTACGATGTCGCGTGGCCTGAGCTTGTTTCCGCCGCTCTTATCCGGAAACAAGGTACATCCGAGGAGTAGAAAAACATAAGCACTCAGCTGTGCGTCGGGCGTCCTACGTGCACTCGGGTACAAACACCGCTGCAACACAGATGCGATCTTCACACCTCCGTGTTCCCAAACACCTAGCGCCTCGGTGTACAGTGCAGCCCTGTCCACCGCCAACAACTCCGCCAGCGAATCTGCCTGATCCGCATCAGCCACGGCACAAAGTCGTTTACCCTCAACACGAATCCCCAGAATGGCCTCGACGTCATGTAACATGATCGTCATCTCACCGAACGGAAGGTGAAAAGAGTTTGTATCCGGCTGCCATCGCTCAATGAAAGCCGTGATCAGCGTACTGTCAATCTTATCGTGCATGGTGGCAGGAACGTGCTTCACCCCAGTGCCCTCCAGTCGCTCGAACATCTCGCTCTCCGCCGGCCAGGCCTCAGCCCATGTACGCAAAAAACTACAAGTCTTTTCCCGGGTATGACATTTCAACAACCCCGTAACTGAAGGCCTCTCCTGGTCCTCCCAAATACGGGCAGCTATGTGTCCTAGAAAGCTAGGAATCACACTCCCGTCAACAGGCCCACCGGGCACCTCACTCCTAACAACCCAAGAATCATTACCCGCCCTCGACCGTTTCCTGCTTGCCCCAGAGACAGTGGACGCAGATGATGTGCCAGATCTACTAACAAACCTACCACCCCTACCCTTACGCACCTCCACCATATGCGTCTCGTACATGTCATCAACCCTCTGACTGAATGGACCGTAATCATCATACGGTCCACTGCCATCGTCCACATCCTCATCCTCATCTGCGCCCTCCTCCTGCTCCTCCTCCTGGTCACCCTCCTCAGCATCATCATCGTCATCGTCATCCCGACGGTGGATCCGTTCTCTACGAACTGAGGCCGAAATACCACGGGATCTAACATGTCTATGCCCCGACCTCTCCACTGAATAACTTCTACTAAGAAGCTCTATATTCTTCCCCCCACCATGACGACCCTACACAAAATTTTAAAATATATAAACATACAAAAATTTATACGATAAATAATCATCATCGCAAATCAAATACACTAAAAACAAACAAATAATAGTAAACAAAATATGAACGTAGAAAAAATACAACGAAATTGAAAAAAATTATAAAAAAAAACAACAAAATATAAAAACAATTCAAAATTATATTACAAAAAAAAAAAAAAATTTAAAAACAATTTTTTAAAAAAATTAAAAAAAAAATAAAATAAAAAAAATGGGGGGGGGGGCGCCCTGGCTGGACGCCCAGCCGGCGGTGGTGGCGCCAGATGCAGACGCCGCCACCAGTTGGCTGGCGTTTGGGCTGGACGCCACTGCCACGGCTGCGGCGCTTAGACTAAACGCCACAACCGTGGCGGTGGCGTCCAGCCCAGGCGCCAGCCAACTGGTGGCGGCGTCTGCATCTGGCGCCACCACCGCCGGCTGGGCGTCCAGCCAGGGCGCCCCACCGCGTTCACGGCGGTTTTCCCCTTTTTTTTTTTTTTTTTTTTTAAACAAAATATATCTTTCCACCTTGGGACATCCTTCCCTCCGCCGCCGCCGCCACTTCCTTGCCTTGCTGCCTCGACATTGCCGTTATTTTGAATTTTTTTTTTTAGAGAGGTTGAAAGAAGATGAGCAATGAGAGTGTGAGTGATGAGAGTGTGAGTGTTTTTTTTTTTTAAGGTCAAGGGCAATTTTGGGAAACCAAGTGAATTTTGTGGGCTTTATGTAGTAATTTGTGGGCGATGTTTAACAAATCCCTAAAAACCACAGGACCTCTTGAGGAGTCCACCCTTAATATTCTCTTATTGATAATAAAATTGAGGGTAAAATGAACCCAATATAGTTCACTACAATTCACAACCCACCAACAACAACAAACAATAAGAGATTGAAGATTAGAGAGCAAAAGAGTAGAATTCAGCCAAAAACAGAAGTTCTGTCCAGAGACGACTGAGACCAAACCAGAGCTCAAAACAACGATCCAACCGTCCAAAACAAAGCCCTTGATGTCAGGAACAAGATGCCAAAATTTGAGCACGATCCAACAGTGAAAACTCCGGCAACAACCAATTTTATGAAGGCTGCCCAGAAAACTCCGAAATTGGAAGCTCTTGTAAAGAACTCTAACTCTCTCTCTATTTTGGTGTGTGTATGCTTAGCTACTAACTGCCTCACTTAGTCACTTGTTTACCACAAGATTTTCCATCTAAAACTTCTAAGAGAAGCCACAAAAGGCATCTCAAAAACTTTTAGAAGAGGCCACAACTTAAGTTCCTAAATTAGACTTAATTCATTTTAGTAAAAGGTAATAAGAATGGACCAACTAAATAATTGACCAAAACACGATACATTTTACTTCAATTGGGCCGGACCCATAACAAATATAATATTCCGGGATTAAAAAGATAATTTGATTCCATTAATAAACTCTATCGGTTTATCCTCCCTTGGCGCGGGAGAGGAGAGAGAAAGAAGCTTCAACAATGGCGAATGTCTTTCATTCTTCAACTCCAACAATCTTTAATTCTCCCTCTCAATTACCCTCTCATCTTTTACTCTTCAGGTACTCCTTTTTTCTCTCTCCTAAACCAATACTTTGTTTTAATTCCATATTGGATATTATTTTTTATGTAATTAATATTGTTATTTGGGGTTCAGAAATCAGATAAATTCCTCTGTTTTCCTGAAAAAATGCAAATCAAAAGGTAAAATTATTTCTTGTTCTTGCGATTCATCAATACCCACTTCAGAATTTGTGTTTTGCAAGAGGGATTTGTTGCTCTTTGGCTTATCTTCTTCTATGGCCTTGATTTTCCCTACTAATGGTGAGTTCATTTTACTCTAAATTTGTGTTTTTTATGCTATTTTTGCTTATTATTGATGTGGGTTTATTTATATTGTAGTATATTTTTTGGAAAATGATGTGTAGAATCCTAATATTTAACTACTATGGAGTAGACAATTAAGACAATAATAACACCAATCGACGTGTGATTTTGTTGTAATTTCCCTGTCTAATGGAGTGGCGATTCATGTACAAAACCAATTTTTTTATTAATAAAAATAGTCAGAGTTTGGAATTATATCGCTAATTAAGTAGCTAATGCTGCAGGAATTGATGCTGAAGAGGAAATGAAAATGCTTGAATTTGTTGATGATTTAAATGCCTATTCTTACTCATATCCAATGAAACTTCCCTCCAGAAAGCTTGCCTTTAAATGGTATATTTTCTATTTTCTAATACTACTGTTAAATCTATGATTACAATTGTGTAACTTGAACTTTAGTGCGATGCTGCTTGGGATTGGGGGAGAAGAATTTGTTATACGTGGGACTGTGGAGTGTGGACTATTATGAAGTTAATCCTTGTGTTTTCGTTTAATCTTGATCCACTCATCTAAGTGTTCAATTATATCATGGCCCTTTGATTGCAATTAGTGATCAGAGTATTACAGTTTATAGTTTCATAATAGTCAAGTATACTCACTCAAACCGAAAAGTTGTTGATTACTACCTATGACTAAACCGTTAAAAAAAACACCTATGAATGTACTTACTAAGATAAATCTAGTAAAATTGTAAATCACTTTATAATGTTTGAGAAATTAGTGGTTGAATATCTTAATGAACCATATAATATTGGGACGGCAAGAGTGACAAAACCAACTTTTAGTTCCTCAATGAGCTTTCTCTTACTTTCTTGTTATTCATGGATTATTTTTCTAAAGTTCTTGCACTTGCTTCACAATCTTGAATTCAATTATAGTTGTTGGCAACCTAGTTTTAAGTCAGTTTGGAGTTTTCTTCAGCTTTATGGGTTATTTGTTAGACGTGTCCCTTATAATTTGGGTGGTTGTCATCCTCATTCAATTACTTCCACCCTTATTTTTTTTCGGTCTTCTGTTTATCAGTTTATCCTCCTTATGTCTCCTATCTTGAATTAGTATCACTCCCAAACAAGTCACTTTAAGTCTTACATTGATGGTATTGACAGCTTACCATATGTTGTTATCTTCTACTCCTAGAAGGGATATCAAGCTATGCTATCTGTGCTATCATCAAATGCAGTTTGAAAGCTTACATTAATCAAATTTGGCGAATTATCTTATGTCAAAAGGGCTATATTTGATCATATGTTTAATGACCAAAATTAGTTAATTCTTTTTTCCACTTGGAACTGCTATTGTTCTTGCTTATTTTTGTGTGGCGCTAAAACAACTGTAACCACCATTCACTTTGATTTTTCTGAAGCATCCCCCGCTCCCCCTCTCAAGCTGCAAGCGTGAAGTTATGTAAATTAAGTCTAAATGCCAACAGATATAGCAACATGTTTTACTAAAAAATTGTTCTGTTAGTATTGAAAAGAGTACAGCAATAGAAGGTAGCTTTTCCTGATTTTCTAAATATCAATTTATATGTTTGCGTATTTGAAAGTGAGATGTTGTATCTTATGTTTCCTATGACATTTCATTCTTGTAGTTTGCTTTCAAAAATTTAATGCACTACTTCTATTGCGAGTCACTTCTTTTTGTCCTGAAATGTAGGGACCTGACTCTTTTCATCTATTTTAAGGGTGGAATCCAGAAAGCCAGAAAGATATTCTTCAGCTGCTCCTCTGGCCCGTAAGTTAAATTTCACCTTGCTCCCCCCCCCCCCCCCCACGCACGCGCGCAAGATTGGTTCATTTACTCATTCCTGAATATGATTAATGTAGACATGTAGTCATGAATTTCTATTTTATCAACCATAGTACCTCATCTTAGTTGAGCTGATCAGACATTGATGTGAATTGATGCAGCTAATGCGCGGCTGCGTATAGTGTCCGAGCGTGTTGACTTTATCGACAATGTCATCATATCTGTTACGGTGATTACCATTAACATGTATCTGCTAAATTGTTTTGGGGATATCTTGTTAAATTAGCTGACTTGGTATATTGATTCAGATAGGCCCCCCAATCCAGAGTTCTTGAAATCCAAGGATAAGAGTACATGGAATCCGAAAGACGTTGCCGATTCAGTATTGTCTGACAAATCTGCTTTGGTATATTGATTGGTTCAGCGTTGTCTTACATTTTTGCTTTGTTGCCATAAATGCCATCCCTAAAGTCATAAATTGTTCTTGAGGAATTATACTACATACTAACACTATGTTGGGATAACAATAGTGAAGGGAAAGGAAGGAAAAGGAAAAGGAGGGAAGGAAAAGGGAGGGGAGGAGAGAGAAAAGGTGAACTTCGATTTTCCTTCCAAATCTCTCCAGGGCTTTGATAGATTAAAAGGGGAAGGAAAATGGAAATTCCCTCCCCTTCCTTCCTTGCATCAGATATCCAAACAAAGGAAGATGCATCCCTCCTTTTCTCTTCCTTTTCCTTCATTTCTCACTATCCAAACATAATGTAGGTTTTAGGAACTCCTAGTCTTCGTTTGGAGTTTATAAAACTCCGCACTTATTATTGTGGCAATCTTGTTATGATTCGAAGATTGATCTGTAGCTAATGCATTCATCATGATTGTCAGGACCAAGTCTACCACCTGTATGTCAAAGCCATGATCACTGTTATAATTGGTATTAATAAGAATTCAAATATTGCTTGTAAGCAAATATCAATTAAGTAGATTAAAGAGAAACACTGCATGCTGAAATATGGAGAAGCTTTTCATTTGAAGGAATCACAAGCATCTTAATAACAATCATTTTTCTATGTACTGCAAATCCATTTAAATTGCCTTCACATAGTCCTAGCTCTAAACTTGCTGAGTTATGGAAGTATGGAGTATGTAATGAAAATAAGTTTGATTTAAAAAGCATACACCATAGTACTTCTCAAATTCCATATATTGAAGATCAGTTTGCTGCTTGAAATATGACTCAGTTGTTGAACTGATGCATCCGTCATTAATTTCAAATTCGTTACAGGTTTAATTAATATGGTATTGGTTTTCTGCAGCGAGTTACATCAACTCAAAAATTGGCTGAGAGCTCCATACTTGATGCACAATCAAATGAAGTAAGCCCTCAGAATTTTGGTTGTTTGGTGTTTTAGCTGACAATTAACATCTATAGCGATTACTTAAATAAAAATCGCATTTTCATTCCGAAGTGATGTTTATGTTGTACCTTTTCTTCTCAGGTTGATGGCGAAAGATACTGGTTTTATGAATACTTAGTCCGCAAATCACCAACCAAATCTGTATGTTTTTTTTTTTTTAATCAAATTGGATTTTTGGGGATCTTTTACATTTGTTTTGCAAATTTAATCCAACTTCCTTTATCTGTAGGCACAGGAGTCAAACAATTATAGACAATATGTTGCTTCTACAGCTGAGCGTGATGGTATGTTTCTGGCATATTCTTTTATCTATATGTCACATCTTAAGATATTGAACACATGGTCTCTGCAAGGGTTGCTGTCTCCAAGAGGCTTTCCGCTCTTTGGATAATTACAAAGTAGAAAACTAGATTTTAAAAAAAAATAAAAAAAATTGAAGCTTTATTTCTGCAAAGAGAAGAAAAAGTAATGAGAAAGAGAGGATATGACATTATGACATGAAATTACTAAGAGACTTTTTATTGGAGTTTTTTTTTTTTCTTCTATTCTATCCCCATTACTTAATTTAAGTTCTGTTTGCATTAGGATTTCCTCTTGTGAGAAAAGTTTTCTGATGTCTTACCTTTAAAAAAATGAATATTTAAGTTCTGGCATACTAGGTATAAAATAGTATGTTTGACTATTAAGCTTTAATCTAAAAAGTGTCTTTGATACACTAACATATTAAAAAGTGTCTTTGATACACTAACATTTTTTTTCCATAGACTCATTTAATTCGTGCAATATTTGCAGGTTTTTTATACACTCTGAACGCTTCAACTTTGAGCAAGCAGTGGGAAACTGTAAGCTCTCTTATCTTGGCATTGCAGCATTTGACCCTCCTCACTTAGATATTGAGGAGGCATTGTTAGTCATCCAAAGACTGGCATGTGGTTCTTGTGGTTATATCTGATCTTTTGACTGCTGTTTTCTATTTGGTGCAGATGGGACCTATCTTGAAGAGAACGGCCAGCTCCTTTCGGCTTCTCCCCCCAACCGATAATTATGTCCCTCCATACAAGGATCCATGGAGGTTTTGGTGATCTATTTGACTTTTTCCTATCAACCATCAGTTGTTCTTGTCCCCTTCTCAGAGCAATGTAAATGTTTTTTCATGCACAGCAGCCAGTGAGTCTGCATGGCTTTTCTCTGAGAGAGAGCTGAAATATTACAATGTAGGGCTTATATGTTTCTATATGTAGCTTGGAGATAACTGATTTTGTTGTTATATTGAAAGAATTTTCAAATAAGCACTTGTACAGTTTTATTCATAGCACTTTCAGAGCAAGGTTCCTACTCGACAGAAAGACTTTAGATTTTAGGTTGATTGTCTCGAGGCATAATGTATGAATAATACTTCAAAGCTGAGTTCGGGTTTAGATCTTAACTCAACTCTCTCCGTAATCAATGAGCATGACCAACACTTATTCTATGAGTTGGTCTTGGTAGTATTGGCTTACTATAGTGTGTCAACTGATCAATGCATTTGCTCTTATCTAGTACGATTAGTTAATTTTACCAACTTGTATTATATTTCATGTCAATTTTCAGATTCTAGCCATAAATGGCACACTGATACGTAGATCCTAAAGAGTTCTTGGCTTTAGGATCTGCATTTTCTTTGTAACAACCAATCAATTGAATGATATTCATATATACAAAATCCAATTAGTAACATACAAATAATATGCTACGCACTTGTCCTAATCCATTTGAACCCATGCCTTCTCCAACCCTAATCTACATGTTTCTTAAATTCCCCCCCATCCCCAAAAAAAAAAAAAAAATTAAATAAATAAATACAATGCATCACTTGTGAGCAAAGATCTCATAGTAGAGAACACAAATGATTGCTTTCTATGTACATATTCAAATCCTAACCAATGAGCTAGTCCGAATTCCTGCCTTCAATCTTGCATTTCTGACTGGATTCATAAGGTACTTCCCAGTAGACTAGTGAGCTAACCGCAGCTGAAGAAGCAGGCAAGTCAATCCTGTGATGTTGTAGAATATTCAAAGAGAAGACGTTTGGAGGGTGCAGATTGTAGCAGCACCCTTAAGCGGCTAGTAAGCTGGTATATTAATGTCCACTGCATTGCCATTTCTGAGTCCTTCATTTGTCTGACAATAGAAGCCTGAAAAGGAAAAGGATTTCATCACATGCAGGAGGAAAACAAGAAATAAAGTCTGTCTGTCTATCCCAGCCCCAAAAGAAAGTATAAAGGATGCCACAATAACCTGTAGTCGTTTTCCAAGCTGAACTTCTACTTCAGTGCCAAATGATATATTGCTAGCCAGAGACTTGAGAGGATCGACAGTGGGGTCAACAGACAGCAGAGTAGGGATTTGCGGTGCATAAACAAGCCTCCATCTAGCATGCCCAATCTCACCCATCCCCTCTATTCTTGGCATCAAAGTCTCAAGTGTAGCAGTCGCAAGTTTCTTGAGTGCAAGCTGTCCATCACCTTCCAATATCGACTCTGCAAGTTGACTTTCAAAAACTCTAGCAGCCTGCAGGAAAAGAGATATAAGCATTAATTTCTGAGAAAAAGAGCCTGCTTTTGTGCTACCTATTTGATTTTGAATATGACAAGTAATCCATATTCCATATTATTCACATCATTAAGGAAAGAAAGAAAAATGTTGGAAGAAAGGGTTTTCCTCACAACACAAGCCTCTACAAAGCAGGATATTCATCACCAAAAGAAATATTTGGTAATAAAGACTTGCAGAGAAATTTCTCTTCCAGAACTACTATTTACAGGCAGCAAGAAAAGCTTACTGAGAAATTCCAAATTGGTAACTTCTTATAGTTCTCTGAATTACCGACAAAGCTATTGAAAGGGAAGAAAAGGAAGCAAAAAAAAAAAAAAAACTTGCAAAGACATGCATAGAAATTGCTCTTGGATCATAATCTGAACAGCTGAACCTGGAGCACTAATGGATCAACAGAACAACATCAACATTAACTCCTTGCCTATAAACAGGCTGCATTCTATATTTCTATTGCAGGTATAGGACACAATAAGAATCAGAAAGGACATCATTTCGAAGATCCAAGCAAAATGTTATCTAATTTAGGGTATGTTTGGCCAAGCTTTTGTAAAACAGTTTCTGATTCCTAGAAGTAGTTTTTTAAAAACTGTTTCTAGAGACACTTGTGAGAAACATAATTGTTTGGCCCATTGAATGAAAAAATACACAGTATCTTTCTCACATTTCTCCACCTTTCCCCTGCAAAGCTGCAAGTGCTGCAAACTTATATAGTCAATCAATCAATCGAAGCCTTAATCCCTTTATGCCATTATTTCACTTTTTTTTTAATCAAACCACCCACCACTAATGGAGTGATGGATCTTTAATGTCGTTCTTAGTTTGTCACTTGTCCAAGTTCAACCTAGTGACCCATAAAAACCCACCCTAAAAACCCAAAATTTCATCCGATCCAAACATCAATCCTCCCATCGTCTCCTTATAAGTGACCGATTTCGCCACCACAATCTCCACTAGGCTGAACAATACATCTTCGGGGTTTTTAGCAGATACAGTGCATATTTTATTGGAATAGTGGTCAAATCTATGGAGATGAAGATAAACGAAAGAGAGTGGCCTTATTTTAGGAGGGGCTATATTGGACGGAAAAAATTTCATTTAATAGCCTAAACTCCTCCCCGAGAAGCTAAACCAAGAAGCTAAAATTACTTTTGCAAATCACACCGTTTGGCCAAGTTTCTCCTTTTACCACTTAAAAACTCTTCAAGAAGCCGGGCCAACAGGCACTTAAGTGTTCCTAGAATATGCGCAGAACTAAGTATACAAAGAATAACATCTAGAGAATACATCTATAGAAGATCTACTTCGACAGTGGTCGGTGTAAAAGAAGCAAGAGCTAATCATGCTACAAGGATTTAAGCACATTCACAATTCAGTATACTTCAGCCAGAATTTAACCTTCTTCAATTATAAATTTAAGTGGACAATTGAATAAGATTTTATGCATCGTCATCAACTCAATAGGTCTACAACTGGATAGAAACATGTAAATGTACAGATCATCACATCCATTGAAAAAAACCCAATCAAATGTACAATACTTTACCTCAGTAGGAGAAAGAACATCCTGCTCGACAGAGCGTGTAGAGGTTACAACCAATTTTTCGTGCCAATTACTAGCTAGACCCTGAATCCTGAATTGCCACTCTGAACCAACCAAAGCTAGGTCCAATGTCGGATCCAATCCATTATCAGGCTCAAATTTTGCAACATTTAAATGCTCTCTTTTGAGTCTGACCTGAAAATTGAAATGAATACATGAGCATACACAGCAGCCTGTAGCCAGATAGACATCAAAAAAGGACTGAACTTTACCTGTGTTGCAACAAGATTCACATCACCATTTTCAAATGTAAGAACTCCTTTAGGTTTAATTAGCTTAGGATGTGCAACACCATTCAGTTCTACCTCCCCACTCACAGCAAAATTCAGTATCAGTGGATAGACTATTCTCAATTCAGGTCCAAGAACAAGCTTCAAGTTGATCAATTGTAGATCCACTTGTGGTTTTCTATTTACTTGTTCAGTTTGCTTCCCAACTTCAGTCTGTTTTCCTGCCAATGCTTGAGGTAAATGAGAAAATGAGTATAACATGTTCAAAAAAAAAAAACAAAAATTTATGCCAAGGACAAGTCACGAGGCCTAGGTTTGGCTAATCTTCAGACTGTAGTCTTGGTTGAAGAGAAAAATAAAACAAGAACAAAAATGTGACAACAACAAATCTAATCAAGGTAATAGCTACCTGAGGGTTGCAATTCTTGTAAGAAACTGGAGGTTGAGGTAGCAGGTTCTGAGCCAAAAAACCGTGAAACATATCTTGCAGCAACCATCCGGTTATAAGTGTCCTTTGGGAGCCTTGTTTGATTAGATGGCAATCTATTGAATGGAGCAGCTCCACTGCCCTTATCATGAGGTAAATATGCTTCACCATGACTCAATTTTATCTTCCCGGAAATACTAGGTTGCAATATCGATCCAGTTATTTGCAACTGAGTGTCAACCTGACCACTATAAGTTGAACCAAAAAGTCAGCCATGCGAGTAGAATCCAAAAGTAGAGAGAAACTAATGTTTATGTAATTGCAGAAGTCAATAAAGACTTTCTTCATTGTAGGAAATGTATTAAATAGCTGAGTATCTATTCAAAAAAAAAAAAAAAAAGCTGAGTAGGCACACAGTGTTTATTAAACCAGGTGATCTTTTATCTATATACCTTGGATAATTAAAGACAACTAAGGAGGTAACATGTACCTACCTTAATATATTTTTTGCCCTGACTTCCAGATCTTCACATTTCAAGTCAATTTTATCATCAGGGGAAGCTTCAGCTGCGGTAAGGGGAAGGTTCCCTTTGAGCAGTAGCTTTCCTCGTCTGCTTACTCTACTTTCCAAAGAGTTTATGCATAATCTATTAGATTTTACGAGAACTCTACCACCTAAGTTTGTAATAGGTTTGCGAAGTACTGGTGAAGATACGGAAGCCCTGTGGAAAGTTGCAGATCCATCAAGCTCTGGTCGTTCAACAGTACCTCTCACCTAGTTATTGAAACACATACATTAGAGATGCAAATTACTAATAGGTTGCACATTGGTATATCTTTGATCACATCAAGTGCAGAAAGAGAAAAGATTCGAGAGAAACCTGAAGCATGATTTCTGCATTTCCATGAAGCCAGTCAGCATAAGGAGACAAAGCAGTCAATAACATCATGCCCCCATCTTTTATATCAGCATCAACTCTAACTTCTCCAGCATCTAATAAGTTCCAGTTCAGTCCCCTCAAACTTTCAGCAAGCTGAATATCCCAAACATCTTCATTTCTGTCTCTTGAAGCTTTTTTTTCTGCATCACCATCACCAGACTCTTTGCCTCTGTTCTTAACCCAACCAGGGCTCCAGATTGATTTGCCACCATTAGTAGTTGCATCTTCTTCTTTTGAAACACCATTGTTCACAAAAGTTACTGGAACGCTTCCTTGAACATGAACATGACCATTTTGAACAATAGGTTCAAATTTGGCATTGAACAGGAAACGACTTCCTGAGGTCAAGGAAGCGACTACTTCTGCTCGACCAAGATCTATACCCCCAATAGCACCATCCAGGAGCCTTATTTGTACATCACACTCTGGTTTCAAGAGGTTGCCTCGTAGATCCCCCTCCATATGAAGAATTCCTTTCACTGGTGCTAAAAATTGCCTTAATGACATAATTGCAGCAGTGGTTGAAGATTCAATGACCTGCACAAGCATAGGTACTAGACTAACGGGGAAATTCAGAACTGCAAAATGAAGATTTGTCTTGGGTCCCAACAATGTGCCATCAGCATGAATGGTGGCATTGTCCTTTTGGATAAAAATCTTCTCAAGGCGTAAACCACCATCATTGCTGTATGCACCAATTGCTTGAACATGCTGTGTTTTGTAAGCTCCCCATTCCCATTCATCCCCACGGAAATCAAATTCTGCCTGAAAAGTAATTTAAATTAGTCACTCGTCAACTGAAAGTCTGAAATACCTCTGAATGCAGGTATATGTTGAGGAAGATAAAGTGCCACAAAATTATACATCAAAATAAACTAAAAACCACCCAGAACCAAACTCCAATTAAGCCATAAACTCAAAAGATAAGAGTTAAAGTGCACAGCCTCCAGGTAGAAGAACAATCATACTGCTCTCAACTTGAGAAGTCCAAAGAAAAGGAATTAAAAAATTACAGTCTAGAAACCTCACCACCCCACCACCCCCCCCCCCCCCGAATAAAAAAAAAATTAAAAAAAAAAAATTAAAAAAAAAACCCTCCCCTTTTTAGTTAGGAAAAATTGCTTTAAATAATACCACCTTTCACCCGTCCGCTAAAAACAAGTCGACCTTTTGATTATTTCTAAATAATACCACCTTTGAGGGGTGTCCGCTTTAAACAAGTTGTAACCTGATTAATAGGTTATATGGACACGTGTCATCATTTTATTGGTCAGAAAATATAACTTTTTTAAAAAAATTTATTTAATGTTTTTAATTTTTAAAAGATTATTTTGTTTATTTTATATTTAGAAAAAAAATAAAAAAAAATCCCCCACCATCTTCCCCACCCGCCACCAGCTGCCACCCCTATCCCCTTCCCCGGTGTCTGCTAGCACCCCCTCCCTGCCCTCCGACGCCGGCCACGCCCAGATCTCCCTCCTCTGGCGCCGGCATCGACCCCCCTCCCCCAATCAGCCCCTCCCTCGCTGCCCCTTATTCCCAGCCACCACCCCCTACTTCTTCCCTCTTACTTTCCCCTCTCCCATGGGCAGCCAGTCCACTCCCTGCCCCCGATTTTTCCTCACCTATAGCAGTAACAACCAAGCTCAACACAAACCACCTCATAGCCACCATCAATAACACAACTACGAGGCAAATCGGGGACATCGCTAGGTCGCACCCTCGGGAGTTGAATCCGTTGTTGCGGAAGGTGTCGCAGTGTTTGAGGAGTTGGAATTGGGATACGGGAGTTGCTGCGACGAAGGCTGGCTGGGTGGTGGTGGTGGGGAAAAGGGAGGAGGTAAGATTTCGGGGGTTAGGGTTTGGCCTGGTTGGGTACTTGGATGGCGCACGGGGGAAGGGGAGGTCAGGGTAAGGGAGAAAGGGTTGGTCGGCCGGCAGTGGAAAAGCTAGGCGTCGACCGTACCGTCGCTGGGAGTCGCTGCGCGTGGGGGAGGAGGGAGAGGAGGTGGTCGTATGTTTGGGGGAGGGGAGAGGAGGTGGTTGGGTGGTGGTGGATGGGTGCAGGGAAGAGGGAAGGATGGTGGCTGGGAAGAGGGTGGTAGGGCTGGTGGTTTAGTGCAAAAAGGAGGGGTTTGGGCTGCTGGTGGCTAGTGAGGGAGATGGTGGTTTTTTTTTTCTTTTTTTTAAAGTTTATTTTAATTGTTAATCGTAATTAAATGTTTATTTAAGAGATAATTAAATTGTTAAACGAATTTATAAAAAATAAAATAAAATTGTTAACCGGTCATTCAGGTTGTAGGTAAAATAACTTGTTTAAAGCGGACACCCCCCAAAGGTGATATTATTCAGAGATAATCAAAAGGTCGACTTCTTTTTAGCGGACGGGTGAAAGGTGGTATTATTTAAAGCAATGTTTCCTTTTAGTTATTCAACCTTCAAAAGTAACATATGCGTAAGATAGGATGTACAGAGGTTAGCAGTTTTGTTTAACCCTTTACCATCCACAATATGGGACTGTAGATGTTAATAGGCAGGAGGAATAATGTAGCTATTACCAACAAGCAATATGGATTATATCACCTATTGTGGGTTTAGGCAGGAGCACCAGTATCCACTTTTTCCTCTTAATAGTCTAGAAGAGAGGGTGATTCCAGACCCATAAGAAATATTCTTTTTCAAAAAGAGAAAAGTTATGGATCAAGAACATTTTCAGGACAAATATGCAATGTATTGTTCTCTTCTATAACCCCCTCTTCAAATGACAAACTTTTCACCCATCATAAAAGAAAAGCATCATATCCTTCCAAAGAATATAGCTTATACTATTCTAGCAGCAATGCAAGCCAGAAATAGTAAGTTTAATAGGTTTCAAATAATAACAATTCAATATGACAGAGTCACAGTTGGCGACAAAAAGAAAGACCTCTCATCTACAATAGAAAACTAGAAAATTCACCCTACGAAATCTATAACAATACTGACGACACCAAACTTCACTGTCAAGTAGCACAAGACAAAACTTGTAAATAAATTTCGGGTATTACAAAAATGAATCAGATGTAACCTACCACTGTGTCACCATTGCCGCCGCCACTTGCATCAAGAGATCCATGCCAGTAGCCTTTAAGTTCAGATAAACCTGGTAAACTTATATCTTCAGGGACAACTTCATCAGATGAAGTATATTCCCTTCTGATGACCTGAAAAATCAAATTGGTACTGCATTAGAGTCTGATAATGAAAGAAAATAAACACAGAAGGAAATTGTGAAACAGAATTTGAGCACAGTATCAAAGAAATTGAAGAGAAACATAATTTCATCTACAAACAGTTGCACTATTTTACATTTGTATAAAACTCAGATTCACCCCAAGCATGTTCAAAAATTAGTAATAAAAAAACATGCAACAGTCTGATTTTTACTAATGACTAGTTTTTTTTAGAAAATTACAAGTTTACCTAGTTGTTTATCAAATGACAAACTTGTAATTAAATGGCGTAACTTTGTACTATTTATAGGCAAAACTGCTAACACCAGTATTGGTTTTACAGTGTTAGCAGTTTAAGGGTAAAACTGCTGATGCTATTAGGCCTATTACCGGTTTCTTGCCAAAATATTACAATTTTGCTACTTGTTAAACAAAATATATTTATTTCGGAAATAAACTGGGGCTGCCACGTTATTTTTTTTAAGAAAACTGGTGCAAAATTTGAAGAGCCGACTTACCTCAAGCAGTTCTTGGAGACTTCCTGCACTTAAACCCACTGATTGCAAACTTTTCATGAAGAGATCCTGCAAATACATTTTGAAAGGGAAGATATTACTTCGGCCATATTAGTGCTTGTTACAGAATTAAGCTTCTACTAGTGAAGCACAAATCATAAACAACTTGTGATCATAAAACACACAAGTTACACATAATAAGTGTAATAAATTACGAAATAGATTAAAGGGAAAAAAACCTAAATGTGATACTTATGGTTAGAAAGGTGAAACTTAATGAGATAATGTAACAGATAGAGATGCAAACAGATACTATAGGGGAAAGCATTCAAAGCAACTAGAAAGATGGATCCTGTAATATCAATATGGTTGCTGAAATCACACACTTAATATAAAATGACCAGCAACAACTTACACAATGACAGTACAATACATTAGTTTGATATAGGCATATAGCATTTAATTAAGTCAGTCTTGAACAAAGCCAAAGAGCAATCAATCTTTAGGCTCTATAAAAAAGAACAACAACAAAAAAAAAAAATCATTGAATGGTTTACCAAAAGATTGAATGTAAGAAAAAAATAAACCATGGAAATGTAGTACAGAGCACAATTATGGACAAAACAATGTTTTGAATTTGCCATGGGTTAGAGTTATAAGATATAACCTTAGATCTAGAGCGAACAGCAGGGTCAGTACTCCGGGAAAGGAGCCTTGCAAGTGGAAGCATTTCTGCAGCTTCAGCTTGAGGAACTTCAAGCCTCACTCTCCATCGACCCATTGATGACATAACACTACCCAAATGCCCAGACATGGCCCTGCTGAAAAAGCCGCCACTTAGCTCAGGACTAGACTTTCGATCTCGTGTCCCAGGCAACACATATTCACCTTGAAGCTCATATCGGCTGTAGCTTTGTTCCAAAACAGTTTTCTCAACAGTAATCTAGAATTGACCAGCAAGGCAACAAAACATATAATTAGATAGATTTTATGGTAGTATAAACAGAGAATTAAGACTGAGGCCCCATATGAACTATATTCACTTGCATAGTAAAAGACTAAAATTCCACATAATAATTACACTATGTCCTTAAAACCTTCTGCTTCCCTTGTCCCAAAACAGTTTTCTCAACAATAATCTAGAATTGACCAGCCAGGCAGTAATTAAGACTAAAGGCCCGTATGATCATTGTTCACTTCCTTGCACAGTAAAATTCCACATTATAAATATACTATGACCTTAGAAACTTCTGCTTCCCTTTGAGCATTTGAAGTTTACATATTTCATTCAGCCCCTTGTACTGATAACGTCATGGAATAGTAGTGGTACAGCATTTTTAATTGGCCGTATATTTTTGAATAATTATCGTAGCAAAATAGGCAACATTATCTTGAATTCTTAATCTCCTTTTCAAAGAAGGTTTTTTTGGGGGAGGGGTGGGGTGGGGAGAGTGTTTGAGTCCCAAGAGTAGGTCAGAAGGAGAAAAGGAATGACCAAGTGCTGGAAATCAAGTATATCCTTATAGGTGCATAAGTGAATGATTACTCCATGACGTATATGCAGAAACAGCAATGGCTAACACATGATAAGAGGGGGGTAAACAGGTGCAATACAGGAATCAACACATATAAGAGGGCTTTGAAGCCTTGACGAAGCACAGTCTTATGTCATTAAAATCCTATCTATCAATGAAATTATTGTTTCAAAGGCCCCATTTTAGCGAAAATTAGCCCGTTTATAATGAATTGATGATAAAGGTGATGACAATATTACATAGTTCTCCAACCAGTAATTAATGGAAACTTATTTCTTCACAATTGGAAATGTCATTGGATGAAAAACGTAACTTTAAAACCACAAGGATATTATTTTCCAAGTTCCTTTCTCCACGGAAAGTCATTTAATCGCTTGTACAAACATTGCTTGTGTTACCTTTGATACTTTAGAACTAACCTTCGTTATTTATATAAGAATCACCAAAAAAAACCTAAAGGAGGAAATAGAAATAAAACATCAACAAAACAATTATTTCATATTGTGGAGTTAGCAGGCTTGTTATTCTAGAGTAAAAAGATATCAGTTTAAGAACTCACAACATCTCCACTCCATCTGACAGCAATGTCCAAGGCTTCACCCAACACTCCACTGAATTTTGGACGTAACATTGAAAGCACACCTAATCCCCTCCTCTTATGAAAATTCAGTTGAACTTCCGCCTGAAGGAAACAAAGGTAAACAATGTACTTCGATAATTAGTATCAGAAGACAAACATAGTCATGAAATAACAAAACAAAAATAATAAAATAATATAAAAAATAAGACCAAAGCTCCTTCTCGTAAAAAGGATCTAGTTTATTCCTTTTGAGAATATTGTATAGCAGCCAAGTATTTCATACGGTCATACTGACCATCAAATGCTTCTCTTGATTCTGTGTATAATTTAGAGCATGATAGGATTAAGGTAATGGTGACAGATTATACGTTCACGTTCCTCATAAATCAAATTCTTCAAATGAAACATCCCTTTGGGATCCGAAATTCATTTATCACTCAGAAAACAAAGAGAAAAACAGAGAGAACATCTGAAATATGTCATTAATGTCAAGGTAGCTGATGGTCCAATAGCAACTTTGATTCTTCTTTTTTCTAATTGAAGTAATGGGAATAGCATTACTAGAGGAATATTCTCAAATTGACAGTAGAAGAGAAATATACAAAGTGACCAAATAAACCAGTAGCCAGTACCAAAGTTCATAAAGCCAAATCTGAAGACAAAATGCAAGGGGGTTTTTCCTCAAAAAATAAATGCCAGGGTACAGGGGTTCTTAATAATCTAATTTAAAGGAAGTGACAGTATCAAGCTAATCAGATTAGTGCATGCCAATGATAAATATCAATAAAACAAGGCACAACCATGCCACGTCCAAGTAACATTTTGAGACCCAAATTTTTAATCATGTAGATTCATACGATCCTATGATTCGATTTTACCAATTTTATTCTACCCCACTCACCGATCCTAGGTAAATCCCCAATTATAATAACCAGACAGGGTTAATGAATAGAATATGTCAGACTTAGTAAGACCATTCTTTCATTGATGGCTAATCAGTAAGACCATTCTTTCAAGATGCAAAAATGAAATTATGCAAAAAAGAAACAGGGAATAACATAACCTAAATGGATGATGAGTTAGGATAAAGGTTCAACCAATGCAAAAAAAATTGCAAGCTCTTTTTCCCATTAATTCTGAACACAGATTGTGTTAAAAAAAATGAATAAGTGCAATGCAGGACACAAAGAATGTGAAAGAAAATAGAAAGCGAGCAAAAGACTGCTATGTTCCTATTCTATGGCTTGTTTAACTTATGAAATGTACTATCGTAAAAGTCAGCTGTAAAAAGGGAGACAATAACTTACCCTCTGCATGGTTCCTCTGAGTGAAGCAAGCTCTAATTCATCAAGAGGCAAGTGACGAATCTACACAATCACATATATACAATTGCTTTAATATGTTTAAAAAGTTTGAAAAGAAAGTGCCCAAAAGGATAAAAAGAACAGAAGCAAAAGAGATGAAGGATGTGCCTCTAAATTAGCTGAAAGTTCTGGTTGATAGAAAATATTTGCTTTCAGTTGTCCTTTTTGAAGAGAAAATGAAAACAGTTTTCCTTGTGCTTCTTCAGCTGTGTGATTTAATAGACCTATGATCTCCAGAGAAAGACTTTCATCTGGTCTTCCTGTAGCATCCAGCTGAAATGAAAGAATTTCAAATTGTCAGAAGAGATCTATTGGTCATCAATTATGAGCCCAATTACCTTAATGCAACATTAATTTGAATCCCCAAAAAACAAAGTGCAACCATTATAATGATAAATCATTGTGGCCCATATGTCAAGAGAAAATATGTAAGTGCAACCATTAATTTGAGCATCCAAAAAAGGAAAGCTCAACCACTATAATGAAACAGAGGTAGTATATAGGAATCATATGCTCAAAACAATTTTCATATTAGGTTCTCGCAAAAGTTGAATAGATGTGCAGCATATGCCAGTATTTGTGAAAGGATACAATAAAGAGGCCCAAGGATAGCAGATTCATCCTGTGCAAGGAAATATAAATGCAAACATCATCACATGAATCCCCCATTTATCCCACCATCCCCTCCCCCACCCCCCCCCCCCCCCCCCCCCCCCCCCACCCCCAAAAAAAAAAAAAAAAAAAAGAATAAATCATACTTCCGAAGCTTACCTTGATACGATCACGTGAAAAGCTCATATGTCCAGCCAATTGAGGAGCCAGTATCAACTGGTTGAGTTTCAAGCCAGACACTGAAACATCACCTACAAGACAATCCATTTTCTTATCGCTACCGTTATCATCAGCAGCAGATTGGTCAGATGTATTTGAAGCACTTGTTACTTTTCCTTGGAACTTGATTCTTCCAGTTGCTTTAAGATTTACAGGTCTTGGAGCATCAAATGGATAGGACGAAATCATACTGAAAAACTCAAAGCTACGCATGCGTAAATCTAATTCCAGTCCTTCCATAATAAAAGCTTTTGCAGTCTTCACAGCATAGTCTTCTTCATTTAACCAGTTTTCTTCTGGATAATGCATCAGCACTTTTGTATATAAATCAAAAGCAATTGATGAAGAATTAACAGCAATGTAGTCATGGCATATTATGACATCTCCTCGTGCATCAACAAATGAACCCTCAGCTTTAGGTGCGTTCCATTTCACATCAAATCTCCTACAATTACACCGATTGGCACATAAGTACAAATGCAATATGACAGAATATAAACAACAATACCATAATCTTTTGCAGAGCCACACCAATTATATCTATTGTCTATGATATAAGTGAACTCCCAATAACTTGGTGTCCAAATTTTGATTTTTTTTTATTACACCCTTGCTAGCCTCAGTGTCAATTTGTATAAAAGCACCAAAAATAAATAAATGTGGAAAAATTTATCTCAAAAATACATATACACAAGTTATCTTCTTTTAAACAAAAATAAAATAAAAAAATAAATAAAATTAAAATACTCATTAGCAAATATTATATGGTTAGTAAGTTTTAGGAGTATTGGTTTTAAGAAATTAGTTCACTTTCATAGTTGCCAAGACAAAACTTTGAACATGAAGTTATTATAAATTATGAAAATTTGATACGAATAAAAAAAAAATAGATAGAAACTAATCCAACAACATTTTTTAATTTTAATGTTATGCGTCTAAAGAAAACATTGCATATGAATATTGCAAAAGTCAAATTTGTATTTCACAAGAAACACAGAATATATTAGATAAAGAAGATTAAAAAAAAAAAAAAAAAAAAAACTAAAGGAAAATATTTTCAAATTTAAAGTAATAGTGCATATACTTATTTTTTCAAACTACCAGAATTGACTCATCAATATGCAAAGAAAATATCTAAACACCTTACAATTATCATCTACATAGTAGAAGAAGTTATCAATAAATTAAAAATATTAATTTCTTTTTATTTTTACATTTACAATTGCATACCCTACATTTAAAGACAAGAGTTAATTGTAATATTAACCTTAAGTATTTTATAGAGATATAACAATAGTGATATAGATAAGCAGTATTTTAAAGACAATCTGACTTTTCTATAAATTTATGAATAGGCATACAAAATTTTGCATAATTGCATATATGCTAATAAAATAAATTCAAGAGATTAGAGTTTTACGGTTTTAGAAGGGATCCAGAAACTTTAGTCTCGCCCTTCAGTTCCCCCAATTTCATAGGTAGTAGATCCAGAAAACCAGGTAAATATCTGTGCAGAATCTTGTTGAAGGATAAACTTCCAGAAAAATTCACATCCAATGCTGTCTCATCTACCTCGGCCTGTTTTTATGTTTTAATAAGGAAAATTAAAAGAGAGGAAATTCGTGATAAAGCAAACAGCTCAAGTATCAAAGGAACAAAAGTTCGATAGTTCTTGATTTCATCTTAACCACAATAGTAATACAACTAAAACAGGATAATACTGAATCATCCAATCATTAGTTACTTATAGGATGTCAATAAAGCTTGATCACATGAATGGCAAGTTCAACCAACCACCCAATCAACATAATCACTAACTAGCTCTAAAGATTCTAAACAAGTGAGTAAAATATAGATGCAAGCCTCTAATTGAACTACAAATTGCAAAATATTGCTATTTTCAGCAATGATAGAAAGTAAAAGTTTCCACAAGAGAATGTTCAAATATTAGTGAGATGAATTGTGTGAAGAACTAATGCAATTCCACAGACTATTACACATTGGAGCAAACTAAGGATCCTTCTGCCCTCGTTTTCAATATTTTCAATCAAAGGCTATCTTTATCTCTGTTTTCAATGTTACTTGTGTGTGTGGAAGTCCAACAAGCTTGAATCTATTCCAACTCAACCAGTTCCTCTCCCTCCATGTACACACACATAGCGAGAGAAAAGTAACTTCCAAGTACTTACAATTTCTTTATCCTTCAAACTCCTCTTTTAAACCTTAAGAACATCATTTACTTCACTGAGTTAAGCCCTTAAGCCAACTAATTCCAAACAAAGATAAACTCACATGCCAAAGATACGGAAAGGAATATAAGACAAGCTCTTACTTCAGAAGGATGTACACAAAAAGACAACTCAAGTTAAACCTAATTTTTGTTAAAAGTCACTTCATAGTTCACACCTAAAAGTAGTTGTAAATTACTCATCGTGTTATAGGTCATCCAAAGAGTCACACAATATCACATAAAAAGTCACGTCATCTATTTATCTCTAGAAGCCTTTCGCTTAAAATAATTGATTAATAATGGATCACATAACCAAAGACTGGTTAGAAGGTATCAAATATAGCACCTATCATACACAACCATCACCCTAATGCTCTATTGAGTCTATTAAGGCTCCCGCCTATAGCAAGTAAAAGAATGAGCTCAAAAATGGGCCGATAACAGCAATACCCCAGCAAAAGCAGATTTTACATTAAAGTCTTGATCAATAAGGCAATTGGATTACCCACTACCTTAAAAATCAAAAGGCAAAAGGTAGATAAGTGTTATATTGGATTAATCCATTGCATTTTAAAGCCGATAAAGTGTCCAATGGTAAATTTAAATTTGTTGAAATTATCTGAAAACTGCAGCTAGTTTGTTTGGTAACTGTATATAATCACTAAACAATACATTACCTCAGGGCAAATCCAGGCATTCCCTGCCCCTCGAATTTCACCGCCATCCACAAGGCTTGCCCGAATTCCATATAAATCTGCGATCTGTACATAAAAGTTTGCAGTCATTTGACTCAGTTTATTCTTATTGATGGATAAAGGAAACGATTACACAAGAGAAACACACTTACCTACACATTTGAAAATAGTCAATGAATCAATTGTATTCAAGTGATTATCTACTCTGGCTAGTGGGAATTTTATTCCCGTAGAGGATGAATCTTATTAAACTCATGTTTGCCTATGAAAAAATAGTTATGACATATGATAAACCTAGCCTTGATCATCTTAGCAAATCAAACAACGCCAAGATATTATACCCTTTTTGAAACCAGGTAATATATACAAGAATCTATTATATGTTAAAGGCTTACACATATTTAAAAGCCTAAAAGATGGACAAAATTAACCAAAAAGAAAAATAATTCTGACACCACTATTTCTCATCTTATGCGCTAACATACACTACCTGATATTTCAACAAGAGCATACATGATTAAAAAAAAATTGTTAAATTTTCAGACTACAGGTGAAGCAATCACATATAAGAACATCCCAGCATAGTGAAGCATTAACCTAACTCAACGAATTTAACAAATGTGCTGAAATTTCTGACAGATATACCAGAGAGTCTAACATAGAAACATAAAACTATCATACTGAGCACTATTATAATCTAGCAGTTCAAAATATGTCAGTGTTGAAGGTGATATTATCAGTGTTGAAGCAAACATAAACTAACAAATGTGCTGTTTTTAAGATTCACTTACACAATTATCAGTGTTGAAGGTGAAATTAGCTGATAAATAAGAGAAGGGAATATGATCAATTGCAGCCACAGCACCCGCATCTTTACTTTTTGCTACTGCTTCAGATGCAGATGATGCATGTATATCAAACACTGAGGGACCCATCTTTCTTGTGGCCATTCCACTGCCCACAAATATAGGAGCATCCAATGGTCCTTGACAATTGAAGATGGCAGTCACAAATCCAGCTAACTGTAACCAAACAAATTAATTACTATATCTAAAAGCTAGAAGATCCATGCAAAACAAAAGATGGCAAGAAATATGAGCCAGCAGAAACTAGCAACTGATCACAGATATGCTTAATAATGCAGCTAACTATTAGTCAATTCATACATTACCACCATTAAAAAATTAGACTTCTAGGATATAACCTGATCCCTCACATTTATTAAATCAATTGTACTATTATACATATTCTTTTAAACAGGTTATAAGGGTATCAGAACATAACCAATGAACTTCCCTTGCTAGAAAAACCAGTACTGACCATCCCATAATACAAAAGTGCATGTTTGTGCTCACAAAACAATGAAAACATTGAGCCTATAAATAAACTCAACGTCTCATGAAAACAGGTGACTATCAAGGCATCAATTACTAAAATAAATCTCCTATGATACGTCTACAAAAATCATAATCAGATACTAGGGTTGAAAATCTGAGTTCCTTTTATAAATTAAAAAAAACAAATAACAGGATGAGTACTTTCTTGGAAAAGCAGGTACTTGCTTCCAAGATCAAACTGAAACCAAAACCTTTTTTTCTTGTTATTATAAAGTGGAATTTTCTGCTCCTAAATTCATCTTCTCAAGAGATCTATGATTCAGTTTTCTGCAGCCCTAGTGCCCGCTACACTCCAGAAACAGAAAACCCTAAATCTTAAAGCCAACAATATTTCAACGCAAAAATAACTACTCCATCCATTAAAAAATTTCCACATTAACAACTATCAAGGATGCTATTTGTATAGGTGTCACAGTAAATAGAGAGAAGAAAAATAAGAGAAAGAATTATGAAAAAGAGAGGAAATAGGGTTGATAGGCAAGAAAACGGAAAAAAAAAAGGTTTTCTTGAATTTAAATCTTAATTAAAAATATAGAAGCGTAAAAACTATTGAGGGTTGAAAAAAGCATAACATTGCACACTTGCACCTATGAAAATTTTCAGCAGAAGTAAGATTAAGCCACCTAAGCTCAGTCTGGTCTGGTTTCTGTATGACCATACATGCCAATTCCAATAGAAACCAGCCACCAAAAGCTTATGGACCTTGTCATAGAGCAAGGTCGGATTTGACACCATCATATCACTCACTTCATATGAGGAAGTAGCTGATTAAAACAAACAGATTTTAACCTTCCATAAGAGACAATCTACTTACTGGAAATAATAAAGGCTTCATCTTGAAAGTTTTCATAAGAGCATTGACTTCAACACACGGAACCTGCAAAACAAAAGACAACTATCAGAATGCTGGCTGAAAATTAATCGTAACTTACGGCAATAGAGACAGGATGACATGGTGTAAACAAAAGCTCAAGCACAACTGCAATTCCATGACATACTATTCCAACATAAAGCAAGTTACAATGTTACATACACATTCTTAATGGCTACACAGAGGTAATACTATATCTTATCACTTAGTACCACTTACATTAATAACAATAAATAATGCACATTCAAAATATCTGTGAGCACTCTGAGCAAGTGAGCAGCATTCCAGGATTACTAGAACAATACCTGGCACATTAGATGGAACTCTCCTTCCTCGGGATTAATGCCAAAATCTCCAGAAGCTTCCAAAGGAACACCCCCAAACCAACCATTTGCATTGTGCAAAAATACACGTTGACCACGAAAGCATAAACTTGCTGACATATCCTGGAAATAACATTGGCAAAATGCAATAATGAATTACACTGCAATAGTGAAATGCATTGGTTTTTTATTATCATTCTAAATAATAAAAAAAAAAAATAAGGTATACGATTCAATTTGAGAATGAAGTTATCCTATCATAGGATAGTGCATAAATTCAAGCAACCACCCTCTAAAGCAATCATAAAATAAGCAACTCGTAAAACTGTTTAAATGGTATTTAAGTCAGCTTCCCTTCTCTAGTTCTAAATTCCAACTCTCCTTAGTAGTGCATAGCAAGTTTCCTAAATTAGGAAAAGGATTAAGTATCGTGCTTAAATAAAATAACAGAGTCTTGATCCTACTACCACGCTATAGGTAATTTCTTTATATTGTTTCCGCATTAAGCATTTAAATTTACAAGTACTTGAAAGGTTTCTCATTAAATATATTGGAAAACTTGTGAGCCTGAGCCACTTCGGATAGGGGTGCTAGGTGGTTTGTGTCTGTCTGCCTACCAATGTACCTTCTTAACCCAGTCCTTGACCCAAATTCTGTGATAAGCTTCGGGAACTATGGGGTAGTGTGTGCTCCTATGGACTTTTGTGTCTTTCAATATAGTTGTGAGAAGACTTGAGATTTTTATGATAGTGACCTTGTTGATTTTCCCTCAAAGGATGTTCACTTTACATTGCGAATTTGTGTGTGGATGGTGGCCAAAGTTTCTCTAGGTCGATGTATAAAAAAGCTTAAGGCGCGCTAAAGCGAGAGGGGTTCTGCTGCGCATAAGTGTGCTTCTTTGAAGTGAAGCGCACTATAGGAACCTTTAAAAAAAATTGGCTAAAGTTTGCTTCAGATGCGCCTCGAGTGCGCCTTGGTTGCATCTCATGTGCCTAACCACAAATGCCTCGCCCAGACCAAGTTAAGTGCTTACCCCCTAGCGCCTTACACCTCAGCGCCTAGGCACACGTTTTCAAAAACTACTCTAGGTTGCATCAGAATTTTCACTCATAAATGGAGTAAGTAGTTTCTAATTTGGTGCAAGCCTTGGTCGAAAACTCTAAAAATGTGGTTTCTGATCACTTCCTTATTATTTTATTTAGGAGTCTTGTCCGCTTTAATTTAAGCCCTATTCCTTACTTTATCAAGACTAAGTGGATCACTCCTTCAGAGTTTTAAAAAGCAAGTTTTGGAGTTGTGTCAAGAAGCCAAGAATCTCACGATTGAGCCTCAAATTGATTTAGTGTCAGACAACGTGACTAATTATAAGGAACTGTCAACAAAATATTAAACAAGAAAAATAAAGAGATAAGTTAAAAGAAACCAAACAAAGAAAAGTGAGAAAGTGGAAGTGGAAAACAACAGCAGTGTAAAATGAAAACCCAAAAAAAAAGGAGGGTATAAAAATAAAATATTAAGAAGTTTTATAAGAGGGTAAAGAGGAGAGGTAAATAATAAATGAATAAATAAATAAAATAAAGCACCGAGTATTCTGGAGCATAGGAAAATATAATTGGCGAAAAGACACCCCTACTGAAGAATTCAAATTCTTAGCATTCTATATATATATATATATATATATATATTTATATTTATATATATATATATATATATATATATATATAGAGAGAGAGAGAGAGAGAGTTTAAAAGAACATACTGAAAACCATGAGGGGGCATCCAATATCTGGAAGGACAATCCAGTGACATCTAGCTGACCATGTAGGTTAGGAAAAGATTCCCCACTCGACATGCAAATGTGTACCTGCAAAGAGAAGATTAATTAATACGAAGGGATTCCACGCTTCCAACCCCAAACCTAACATGATTGTCTGAAAAGGGATCATATACACTATTGTAGTAGTTGGATACTCGCATGTTTCAAGGAGAACTTTTTAAAAAGATGATAAACGTCATTTGACAAAAATAAAGAGACGATACATTAGAAAGGAACTCCCAATCTTGCAAAACAACAGAAAGGAACATGTTAGGAAATGCCCCTAACTCCATAAGCAAGAGCCTCAAGAGTAAGCATAGAGTAACTAAAGAAGACTCCTGAGTCCTGACCGTTTGTTTCCTCCCTTTTTATAGTTTCTATGAATTTCTTTAAATAATTAGTGTCTCCCATATGTCTCATCTATTCTTTCTTTGTCTCTTTAATTCATCATGAATCTCTAGACAAATAAACATTTACATGAACATAGCAAAGATACCTTAATATTTAAGATTAGTAGGCCTCACAATAGAGTTAATAGACAATTAGACAGTAACCCTATGGAGTTTTCAATCCATAAGGCCCAGGGGAAAAAAATCATGGATACATATAGCATTTACTCAAACAAATGTTATCGTCAAATAAGCCCATGAAATATTTTTTTCATTACAAGTCTATCATACAGGCATATACCGTTAATTACCACCAACGTAATAAAAAGGCAGATAAGCACCTCACCACTTGCTCTTCCTTTTGACCATGCAATTGGAATTTCTAGGATCCTTTCAAAAAGCTGTAAAGCAAATAAAAAAAAAAATAATAATAATAATAATAAAATTAAAAAAAAAGTACATAACATCATAAACATTCATAGCTATTGAGAATATAATGCTGGACAAATTCCACAACTTCATATAAAAATCAGCATATACCTTACCGGAACAAAAAGATTTGTAACTTTCAGATTGGCATGCCACTTTTGCTCAATAATATCAACAAAAACATCCGTTGATAACCAGCCGCCATCATCGATTTCCCTCTCTGATCTCCACATCATACAATTTCCACTAAGTTGCACGTGTACTCGGCTATAGTGGTTTTGAAACTTTACATGTCCATCAACATTCTCCATCACCCTACAGAGAAGGAAAATAAAGGGTAAGATAACAAATTAAGCAGAAACAATTTTACGAGTACCAAAGAGAAAGAAAAAAGGAAAAAGTCTCTCAGCAGATGGATGGCTAGGTACACCTGAAGTATAAACCTCTAAAAAAATCTGACACTAAGTGTTGCAGATCATGCTTTAATGAAGATATTTAAATTAAGAGTAAAAGGACATGTACATTGGTCTTTAAGTATGATACCCTACAACCCACCAAGATGAAGTGTTCAGACAATTAATGAAAAATTGGAAACAAAATTTGAAAGTATAAAAGCAATCAAATAGAAGTCATAGCAGACATCATCCTTTTGTACGTCAAGAAACTGGAAAGAACTGATATTAGGGGGAGAGACACTTTAGGTAATACATAATAGTTTTGTTATTAGTAACTTAGAAAAGAAGTTAGAGTATTTGTTGGAGGAAGTTTTCTATATATAGAGCACAGTAGCACACTATAGAGAAAGGTGTGATTATCATAGATAAGAATTCTGTTTCGTTTTTGTTTTGTATTTTTTTTTGTTTTGTATTTTAGGAGATTGCAAGCCTTTTGAATGCTTGATGTTACTAGCTGACACATTTAGCATCACCAATAACAAAGCAAAGAAATCCCTAGATCCAAGTCAAAAATTTGGCTTACATCAGAGATGTAGACCATGCCAGATCTCCAACTCTAGACCTCTAGTAGCGCCAAAAGATGTAAAAAGAATACATCCTAAAGCCCACATACTTAGTAAAAATGTTAGGCAGCACTAAACAACACTCCTATGACACAGCAGCCTTTAAGGCAACCAACAAAAATAAATTAAGCCAACAAATGCACAGAAGTAACAACGGAACTTCCAGTAAAAGCATATGCTGCAAAGTCAGAAAGAAGTAAAGCAAAACTTTGAATTAAAAACAGAACAGATTTGACATTATTTAAGGACTCTGGCCATATTTCTAAAGCAGTAGGCAACAAATGATTTCATGGCTTGCATATGTCTAAATGACTAAACCAAATTAGCTTTACATGAGAAGACTTGGCCAAATTAGCCAAATGATTTCATGGTCTTGGTCATCAAAATTTAAGTAGTGGGTAAATAGAATTCCACATCCATAATTCCATATCCCCTCCCCCTATTGTATCAGTATGGTATATCTTTGCACTGCTCTTTGACCTTGCACCACCTACAAAACAAAAGAGGGAGGTGAAGTCTGTAAACCCAATATATCCAAATTAGTTCTTTCTTCCATTGAATTTCTTTTCAAAAAGGCTCGTACGAAGCAACAGAAGGGGTGGGGGATGTTTTATGACGCTTCCAAGGACATGATGCCGGAGCCTAAAAGAAGACAATAAAATAAATCTTGACAGAACAACTATTTAGAAAAGGTGTTTCGAAGTTTAAGGAAAAGCTAATAAATCAGGAAACTGATGGCAATCGTATCCTGCAAAGACATTCTTGTTCTCCTCTATTGCCCTTTGGTTAATGTGTGTTGGTGCACATTTTATATATCTTATGTCCAACTTTTCTGCACCAGCAGACTAATCTCCCTTTTCTAACTGGAAGGATTGTATTAGGTATCAAATGGTAATGAAAACCTAAAAACCAATGCCAATCGCATCCTGCATAAGCATTCTTGTTCTCTTCTATTGCCCTTTGGTTGGTGTGTGTTGGTACACATGTTCTCTATCTTACCTCTGAATTCTCTGCTCCAGCAGACCTATCTCCATTTTCTAACAGGAAGGATTGTATTAGGTATCAAATAGCAATGTAAATCTTAGTTGAATTTTCCTTTGACAGATAGTTACTTCATTATCGCATAGAATCTACCCTATTGAACCCAGAACTGGATCAAGGACATGCTAGTTTCAAACAACAATTTCCCAAAAAAGCCAACTATTTATCTTTGACACACTTCAGGGCAAGGCGGCGGCAAGCATACAAGTTCAAAAGAAATGTCAAGAGTATCGCTCAACAAACACAATTTTTAACATATTGCCAACGGTAAGCTTGACACCAGAGATAAGGAGCACAGAAATGGAAGTGCAATAAAAACACTCAAGAGTAAAATCCTACCAAATTATTCAGAAATTAGTCATCAATATTTTACCCGATGATTAATCTTCAAAAAAGTGAATAAGTCGCACCTGGGTTCTGCATCCCCGTATCCAAGCAGCATCAAAGTTCCTCCTTTGAAATAAACAGAATCGAGAGTAACTGGTAGTGTCTTATCAATCCTTTCAGTCTCAATATCATCCACTTCTTCAACTAATTCTGTGACAACATCCTCAAATTTATGACCCATGCCATTTTTCAACTCTTGGAATGGACCAGACACAAGATAAGAGAATTTCTCTCCAATGCTTCCTGGAGGTGAGGAGGAGGTTGATTTCAAATTTGGAGGCCAAGCAGGTTGGAAATCATTACCCATAGGTGAAGGTTCTTGACGCACAGTGGCTTGATCAAACGATCCACGATATCCTTGATCAGAAGACGTGCCTCTGACGGTTTCAAAACTTTGGTGTTGCGTCGTGTCTGATCCATCTGATAGGCTTTCATCAACACTTTCTGGACTTCTGCTACTCAGATCAGTAGCATCTTTCTTTCCTGTAACATCACCATCAGCAATACATGGTAATTTGTCACTGGTTAATTCAGCCTTGCCCACTACAAAACTAGATGAATCGGATCCAGCTGTATTTTCAATCTCTTTGTCCAACAGAATTGATGAATGTGGACCCTCAGCATGAGCTCCTAAATATGAGTTTCTATCACTGTGAGTTGACAGTTCAGGCGTCCCATAATCAGCATCTTCCTCTCTTTTGGCATCAAGATTATCACTGCGGTTGGTGGCTAGCTTTGTGAATTCATGTGTATTTGTAAGGGAAGTGAATGCCACACCTGAACTGGAAGACTGAGTATAGTCTTCAAGTCCAAGCCTTTGGAAGTACAAAAAAGCAGCAGCAGCACTTCGCTCAAGAATCCTTCTTTTAGCAGCATCACCAGGCGCAGAGAGATCTTTCCCGTTGGTTTTTCTTTTATATTTAGGCATTGTTGGACCAAGCATGATTTGGAAAAGGGACTTTAGCCTTGATCTAGGAGCCTTTATGCCAAACGACTTCTCCAAATCATCATGCTTCACATCATATGGAACACCCATATCCATGGAATAATGATCCCTCCGATGCATCCCTTCATCCCCACAGAAGTGTGACTTTTCATTCATCGATTCTGTTGTACCATTTTTATTTTCCTCAGCATAAACCTCAGAAGAACTAGAGCCATGGTTAGGCACAATGTATCCTGTCTCTGCAGCTCGCCTCGCTTCATCAACTCTTTCTCTATCCCACTGAGCACCTGCCTGTTCTCTAGCGGCCCTCCTAGTCCTCGTACGAGAATCAATTCCTTCTTCCGTTGAAGTATGTTTCTGAAAGCTACCTTCAGTATAGGGAATCCCCAACCAAGTAAAATCCTTCTTTTGTGCAACCAACAATGTGGGGTGAGACAAAACAGCATCAACCACAACTTTTCCCCTCCTTAAACTAGAAAAAGGATGAATCCTGACCTTTATTGTGGGAACCTCACCACATGAGAATTCCTGAGAATGAGGCCCAAAAGAAGACGACTCCAACGTAATGCTCAAAGGTGAGATCCGTCGAACCTTACCAAAATCAATGTCACGTTGAATGTATTCACTCAATGCCGAAGAAACAGAAGGCAGCAGCTTCAATTCAACGTATTCCTTAGCCTTAGCTCGGCCATACCACAGCAACAAGCACACCCCAGATATCACCGCGGCAAAAATTGAGCACCGGAAAAGAAGTAGCCCTTCTTGCCATAACGGAGAAAGAGACTTCACCAGCCCTTTCCCTTGCGAAAAACGCTTTTTCACATAATTTATCCTCAGTTCATTTCTTGATTCAACGTCCTCATTCAAAAATTTAGCAATTTTTCCATATATTTGGGGAAACCAAACACCATTTGGTGACCAATGATTTTTCTTCCAACATCTACATTTTGAAGGGCTTGAGCTCCTTCTTTCGGGCAGCAATCGCCGCCTCAAATACACAAGATTACCACCCTTTCTTCCATCTATAGAGCTACAAATGGGTGTCCCAATAAAAGGGGAATGAAGCTTAATGCTCATTCTCTCTCCCTCTCAAAAACATACTCCAATTCATTGATTTTACCACTAACAAACCTCACTAATTATCCCCTTTAAACCCAATTATTGCATAAAATTCAAAACAAACCCCAAAAATAGAAATTACCCAAGTTTGCTAACATCAAATTTTGCCCAAACAAATGTCCAATTTCAACTTTCTACACTCCGAAGCAAAAACCCATCTCAAGCAAAACAAGATTCTTTTAGTAAAACAAAACTTGCCCAGAAAAACAATACAGAAATTCTGGAAAATTCTGAATTTGGCGGGTAGAAATAAGTCCTTTAACCTGCAAAAAAAATAAAAAAAATTGTATTAATACAAATATATAACGAAAAATTAGTAGAAAAAGTATGTAGTGATGAGAGAGAGAATCCACTTACCTGGAATTCTTTGCCCCGCTTTTAATTTCTTGCTAGAAAAGAGAGAATTAAAGGGTTTTTGTGTTAGAAATTAAAGCATTTGCCTTAAATTTTACTTCTGGGAGATGAATTTGTTTGGTCGTTCTTCTGATATTTCTTTCTTCACGTAAGTAAGCGACGAATTATTGTTTTGTTTTGTTCACGAAAATACCATAAAACATTTTTTACCCAGCATAAAATATCATCGAAATATTTGAGGGTCTGATAACGATATGCAGGGTAAATTGGTATTTTCCTCTTTTCGGTGATATGAGCTATTGGTCTAAATATTCTATTTTGAGAATGAAAAAAATGCTACCTTTCAAATACAAAGTTGACATTTAATAAGAGTAATTACTCTGTTTAATAACAATAACTTATATGAAGATTTACGACAATATTTACTGTAAAAACTAACCTTTGGCCCCTTTTAAAAAAAAAAAAACAAAAACAAAAAAACTAACCTTTGGCCGAATTCCGGTAGTTGACTAAATTTCATAGCGTTGATTGGTGCACAAAAATATCGCGTGACCTATGACCCCCTTTTTCCTATTATTTCTCACATTTATTATTCACTCCCTTCGTTTTTCTTCTTCGTGTTCTCTTATTGCTCCTTCATTTGTGAAGCGCAAAGGAAAAATTAGTTCAAACCTCATCAATAAGCAACAAAAATCAAAATTGTTTGCTTTGAAGTTCAATTACAGTATCACAAATCAAGGTAATTCTAAAACCCTCTCTTCATCTTTCACAATATTCCGGTTTTAAAAATTAAGAAAAATAGGGTTTGATTATTGAAACATGTTTAATTGGTGATGTAGCCGTCAAATTGGTCAAATTTCTATCAGCCAACATGTCTTCATGACAAGGTGTGATTCTTAGGTTCAAGTTTGGATTTCCAATTTCGAATAGGAGAAATTTAATGTGCCTAATTTAATTCGCCTTCAAATTAATGCATCAATGATCAATTTGGATGATTAATAAACCAAAAATCATCGTGAAAGGGGCAAAAGATGGGTCATTAGGTTACATCACACTCATATGGCAACCAACGCCATCGTGGAATTCAACCAACTACCGGAATCCGGCTAAAGGTATGTTTTTACATTAAAATTTGCTTTATAAGGTATTTAATTCATTCATTTATTAGGTAATAACTCACAAAAAGTAATATGAGAAATATTAGGTAATTTCTCGCATATTTCCAAAGAACAAAATGATTATTTATATAAATTAGATTTTTTTTTTTGTATGACCATGTGTCCTCATTTTCTTATGTACTCCATAGCATATTACAAGAAAGATAAACTGTTAATAATTGGAATGAGCTATTTTTACATAGCAAGTCACAATAAGTAAACTCATTGAAAAATAACTCACTCTTACCCGATCCTATATCCTCTAAACCATTTAGCGAATACTACAAATCTACTTTAACCGTTCTTTTCTTTATCAATTGTTTTTTTTTTTTTTTTTTTTGGAAGGGTTATCAATTGTATATTTATTGTTTGATTTTGTTTTCTTAGTTCTTTAATTAGATCATGTTTTCTTAACCCAAATTCTGCTTAGTTTAAATTATTTTTACCGACTAATTTTAATTTTTATTTATTGTTTCGCTAATAGATTTGAACTTTAATGTTTACTGGTTATTAGTATTTATCATAAAACTGAACTTATTCTCAACGAGTTAAAATTATTTTTACTTAACATAAATTGTATATGATGAATATGAGTAATTCTAAGTATAAAATTCGAAGAAGTTTAAAGGTTGAATATGAAAGTTCTTATCTAGAACTCATATCAGTAATCAAACGACCAAGCCATTGATGCCCTCTATAATTTGCTCTTTGTATATAACACCATTAATTATGGATTACTCATCAAACATGGAAGGTAGAATATCCACCTTCTTCTTCTTCTTCTTCTTTTTTTTTAATTGACAAAAGCAACTAAATAGGCACCTTCTTTGAAGCTAGAGAAATCCATCACAAGTCACAACCATGCCGAAATTGCTCTTATATAAACTATTTCTAATGTTTCATTTACTTCACTTTCCTAAAATAAAAGTTTCAAATCAATTGCATCACTTATTAGTTACTAAACTCTCTTTATTTCTCATATTACATGAGTCCATTTTTTTTATATTCACTCCATCTCTCTCATCTCCTACAATCGCCAAAAATTGATTAAGAGTCCACAATATGCAAAGTGATGCAACTAAAAACAAACGGAAGTAGAAGTTATTTTTGAATATACAGCAATTGTTCTTGAATATGAAGAGTACATATATATACAATATAATCCTTCTAAAATAACTATGGAAGTGACTGCAATTGTACTAAAATTTCCCTTGTATATATTTGTTTGCCCCCTACAAAAAATATTAACGCTCATTTAAAGCATTGTTTTTCTCTAAACTATTGCCTTCATAACACAGGCAAAGCTTACTCACAAGAGTAGCACAATAGATGGGAGAACCTGGAAATTTCTCTGTTTAAAATTTCAAATAAATTATTGAACCTAGGAAAACTGGGTTCAACAATTCTGGTGCGAAACCAAGTCGAATTCTACATACATCAGGGAATCTCTTCAATGGAACAGACAGACAGACATAATTTTACAATCACAACACATAATAATGGAAAAGCTAGAACATTCCACTTGATATAGCAGATTGTTTCAAGCCACACAAAGAGCTTCAACTTTTCATTTTCTCAGAATCACTAATACTGGTTATGTACTAAAGGATGCAAACAAACAGAGAAAATTACACATCAGAACAGGACTATAAAGGTCAAACATCAAATCACAAGCATTCGCAAAAATGGCTTCCAATGTACATTACCCGCATCTGCTCCACCAAGTTTAAGTAACATTTAGCAAAAGGTTATCATAAAAAACTGGTTCCAAATTGGTATCACATTATAACTAAGCGATTTAGTAAAGACCTCAGAAGCCAAAAATGGAGAAATTTTCCTGACTACATAAACAAGGCTGTCCAGAGCAAAAGAAATTCCATCCAAAAGCAGAGCAGATCCCCCAAGAGTTTATTTGTGCACCAGCAATGAACGACCAAAAGGGAATACCTTGACCTGTATACAAAAAGAACATCGAAGGTTTACCGCACAGGCTGCTGGTTGTAATGGTTCTTCTCCTTCTTCTTTGCAGCAGCAAGCCTTGCACTCCTCGCAGCAGCTTCCGATGCAGCAGCTTTCACCGGAGTCATCTCTTTACTTGATTTCTTCTTCTTTAAAGCAGCCACTCTCTTCAGGCGTTCTTTGACATCAAGCGAGGATGCGTCCTCCTCTGGCTGTTCTGTTCCAGCCGTATCATTTGGCTGAGCAGTGGCCTCCGAGCTGTTTGTTTGATCTTGAGCTTCCTTGGATGCCTTGTCCTTCTTCTTCTTCTTCTTTGCGCTCTTAGGCTCTGAAGCACCACTATCCTTTTTCTCCCCATTCTCTGAATCACCTTCTTTCTTAAGCTCCTCTGTTTTCTTCTCTTGTGCAGCATCTGCGGAAATCATATGAATCATATGAAGAAACAGCCAGTGGTTTTAAAAGATCTGCAAAAATCTTACGAAAGAAACAACTACTGGTTTTATAGATCAGTGAAACCTTTTCCCAACAAGCCCACACATCAAGAAAACAAAGAAATATAAACATTGCCATGTAGGAAATCAAACACTCAAACATACTTCCTCCGTTCCCCTAAGATTGCAGCACGGGGGAAGACACTGAATTTAAGATGAGGAGAGAGATAGAGAGAAATAAAGATAGGAGGTCTCATATGATGAGGAGAGAGAGAGAGAGAAAGCATGTGCATATATGGCAATGTTGCAATATTTGTGAAACTTCCTCATACGGTAATAGTTACAATATTTGTGACACTTCCTCAAACAGCAATTGTTGCAACTTGCAATTTTAAAGGAATGGAAGAAGTATATAATAAATAAATAAATAAATAAATAAATAAGTCAAGAAATATATGCCAGCAAGGAAAAAGTACACCCAAAAATATTGAGCATGTCACCATTATTAATCCCCAATCCCAGTTCATGCTTACAGTCTTAACAACCCATCCTCTGGTTATCACTCAAGTAACTGGTTATCAGAAACCAAAAACCAGTACAATATCAAAATGACACACATAGCTAGTAACTACTCAAGAAGGATTAAGCAATTATATCTGCTTGGTTTACAACCAGCATTTTCGTTTTCATCTCTCCTTCCCCTCTTAGGTTCAAGGGAAGCCAGTTCATCTGTACGGATATTGAAATTAGTAAAGAATGTAAACTGCTGTCCACATACCTTGACCATTGCTGCTTTGAACTCCAAAATCAGCAAGAAGGGCTTCTAGCTCCTCGAGTTCCTTCTTCTTCTTTTCCTTCTTAGATAGCTGTCTCTCGGTTTCTTTTGGCGCAGGAGTTTCAGGAGCTTTCTTGACCACTGGCTCTGAATGTACAGGAGCCTCTGTTTCATGATCATGCTCATGCTCATGCTCATGCTCATCCTCAACCTCTTCATCACCTAAGTCAAGCATATCGTCTTCACTTTCACTCTCCTGATAGTCAGAGAAGAAGGCATCAGCTATCAACATTGTGTTTAATAAACTTAATGAACAAAACAAACAGCAACATTACAAACAAAGACCAGCCGTTACCGACACTTTAGAAAGCAAATAAATCAACCCAAGGATTACAGATTGAATTGTACATAATGCAAGTCTGAAGCTTTAGATGAAGCACAAAATGTAAAGGGAAACAAGTACTCTATGAGAATGTCAAGTTAACACCATCTTCAAATATTTTTTTCCTGAATAAATGTGGGCTTCCTATTGATAAAGCTTTTCATAACTCCAATTTTGTCATGCTATCTTTGCTTAAGAACTAAAGGAACCCCATGAGAGAGTGATGTATCACATTCATAGCTATTGGGGCATCATCATATCATGTGTTATCTTATAGCACCAAAGATAGAGTAATACTCCTTTTGTCCTTATTTATTTGCCCCATATGACTTATCACAATCTTCAAGACACGTCCTAAATCATGAATATCTCCAATTTATACAAGTAAATATTGTTAAAACTTGATATTTATTAAGTAGACATTAAAACGAATATAACAAAATCCCACATTACTATATTATACTAATAAATTAGTGAGAATTCATGGTCGAAGTTGTTAAAGTTTGACCACCAAAAATACAATAGGGAAACATGAAAGGAAGGAGGGAGTAATAAATTCCCCTGATCTTATGATCCTTCCGAAAAAAACAATACATTTCCTGTCAACCTATATGCTATCAATGGCACAAATATTTCTAATCAACCTAGATGGGACTCTCGATAGCACAAATATACCTTGATGAGGCTATAAATGAAAAATCGGACAAATACATAGTAATAAATTAGGGAGCAAAAGTCATTCATAGTTATTAATGAATACTAACGACATAAAGGTATCTATCAACCACTTTCTTTTGAGTAGACAAAAGTACATTCCACAACTCCCGGAATTTTCGATTGTGGCATTGTACAGCGTAATGTAAATTATACAGCTCCCACAAAATACAATCTAAGTCACTTTTTCTCATAATAACAGCTTTCAGACCATCTGTTACGCCTCTATGCCTTAAAATCAACTAGCAATCCTAACACTAACAATGAACAAAATCAACATTTTACTACCATAACTAATGAGTTCTGCTTAATATCATTAGAATATTTTACACCAGATAATGCCAATATACACCCAAAAAAGTGTTGGCCACCAAATTGATTTGACTAATCACATACCATACCAAACTAATTCAACCAACAAAATAATAATACAAACAGAAACTAATGCAACAAATCATTGTCTGCGTAAATGTTATCCACATAATATTAAAACAAAATGCAACAAGAATATTACCATACAATTCAATAAAAAAACAAAATTTTATCAGGCAAGCAACATTTTAATGATTCCGAATATAAAGAATACATCAGTAATCCAACCACAAAGGACAAGACCAAACCTCTGCCGGGGCAGCGGCCTCGCTGCCAGTCTGAGAAGTGGGGGCGCCCCACACGGACGGCAGCGGAGCCGTGGTGGTGTAGTAATCATCGTCATCTTCATCGTCAACATCGGCCCAAGACTTAGCATTCAAAGGGGCAGGTTGCCAGAAAACCTGAGGCTCCTCCTGCTCCTTTGAAGGAGTCTTAGAGCTCTTACTGCTGCTACTCTTGCTCTTGTCCTTGTTCTTCTTCTTCCTTAGCGTATCGAGCGCGGCGAAAACATTCGAGTTGTTGATGGTAATTGAAGCCTCGTTCTTCCTGTTTCCTCCACCCACCATTTTTCTCTCTCTTCTTCAACGTTTGAGGTCAAATTTTACAGCCAAATAACTTATTTTTTCAGCAATTTCAACAGAAGAATATATCTTTCAACAATTTAAAATTCTGGGGTTTCGAGTAAAGGATCTACAACAAGTTTATTTCTTCCCAAACTATCAAAATCACCGAAAAAACAACAATCCCTAAAATTTACGACGACAAACGTCAAACCCAGATATCAAATTTCACAAAACAGATTAAAAATCAAAAGGGATTTTAATAAAAACACCTAATTTTCTTTACAAAACAAAAAATTATATAAAAAAATCACAGGAAAATCGACGAATTCCCTCAAACCCAAATACTGATTAAAAACATAGGAATAAGACAATAAAAAATTAGGGCTTTAATAATCGATTCTCTCTAATTAGGTACTCGATTATTAAGAAGATGGATTGGATTGATGAGAGAAGAAAGTGATGCGATAGAATCGGGGGCTGAACGAGGTTATATGTTTTTTTAGGGTTTGTGAAAAAAGGGGGAAATCGATGGTGAATAGGAGTTATGAGGAAGAAATGAGTGGTGAGAGATTATAAAAAGGGGGCAACCCAATCAAAGAGAAGAGAGGAGAAGAAGATGCAATGTTTTTAATGTGAACTAGGATAACGTATGAGGTAAATAAATAAGATCACTTATTTACTACGGTTGCGGTCTAAGATGTGGTTTATGTCTTATTTCAATAGAAATTAGGAGTAGTTTTAGTTTGATTAGGTTTGTCCTATTTTGACTTTGGTATATTTTGAATTAACATCTTGCTCTCACAAAACTTTTAAACTAATGTAGCGAGATTAGCATTACTAAATGAGATTTTATTCATCTTATTTAAAGTGAATTGAGTGGTTTTAGACTGATTAGGTTTGTTTTAATTAATATCATCTTGATTTGATCTAGATTGATTTAATATATTGCCCTAACAAAACTTCATACTAACGTAATTGGATCATCATTATTAAGCGAGATTCTTTTCATCCTATTTTAGAGTGAAGTACGAGTTACATTGATTAGGTTTGTTCTGAACTAGATCATCTTGATTCAATCTAGATTAAATTAATATCTTACGCGGATAAAACTTCTACATTGATGTAATTGAATTAGCATTATTAAGCGACATTCTTTCCATCTTATCTTTTAGAAAAGTACGAGTAGTTTTTGTTCACTTAGGTTTGTTCAAATTTGAGTCAGTCTAATCCGATCTTGTTTGAAGTAATTAATATTCAACTTAGACTAAACTTCTACACTATTGTATTCCTTATTAGATCTTAACATCTATTAAGTGGGTTCTTCCCCATATATTCTAAAGTAAAGCAAGAGTAGTTTGGTTCGATTAGGTTTATTTTGATATGTGTCGTTCTAATTCGATCTAACTCGATTTAATATAATGTCCTAAACTAATTAAATTTTCACACGGATGTATTAGGATAAATATTATTTAATGAAATTATATTATATTTGTTTTCATATATACCGTCCATTATTCTTGAATTTCAAATTATGTAATATATATTGAATACCAATACTAAGTTTACGTGAATAATTTGATTTTTTAAAACTTTGCTAAAACTCATTACTCAAATTGGTTTAAAATTGGTTTGATATATATATATATATATATATATATATATATATATATATTGTATGGTCTAATATGATTGAATAATATAAGTGATACTTTTTATTACCATGCAGGAGTATTGATATAAGTTAATATTTTTTTAAAAACTTTGCTAAAACTCATAAATAAAATTTATTAAATGTAGGTATTTCGTATCTTTCTTCCTATTTAAAGTAGAAAAAAAAATTCAAAATAGAGAAATTAGTGGAACATATGCATATCTTCAAGAAAATAAAGAATAGATATATATAAAAAAAATAAAATTAAGGAAGCAAAATGTTTGTCATCTATCATTTATTCTATGATAATGTGTAATCTACAATATAAGGAAATAATTATTTACTCTACTATCATGATATTGAGTGATCTTAAATATAAGGAAACAAGATATTTTTGATCTATTTTGATAATGAGTGATCTTAATGCAAGGAAACAAATAATTTGTCTATCTTTTTTTTTTTTTTTTTGAAGAAATAAATAATTTGTCTATCTTATTGATTGTCTATACCTTATTTGATTCTCAATTTCATTGATAATTATGGAAACAACGAACTTGTTCAATTATTTTGGCAATAAAAATAATTTGGATGAGTCACCGCATAGAGCCATCTAGACTTAGGCTCTGTTCTTTGGACTTATTTTTAATTTGATTCAGCTAAGTTCAAGTTTAGTTAATATTATTAATCATTAATAAAACAAATTAATATGTAGCAACAATAATAATTAATATTATAATAATGATAATACCTATAATCCAAATTATTTTATTACCAAGATAATAAAACAAGTTGTTATCACGATTATAAAACAATATATATGAGAATCAAATAAGGATAAACAAATAGGAAAGTATCAATAAGATAGATAGACAAATTTTTGTTCTTATATAGTTAGATCACACATTGTCAAGATATTATGGAAAATATTTTATTTCCTTATGTTTAAGATCATTCCATGTTAAAATAGTATAGCAAATATTTTATTTCTTTATATTGTATATTACACATTATCAATCAGATATAAGATAGATGATAAAAAAAATTTGCTTTATTATTATTTATTGTTGTTGTTGTTGTTATTATTATTATTATTATTATTATTATTATTATTATTATTATTATTATTATTATTATTATTATCTCAAAAACAGACAAAGTCATACAACCTACAATAAATTAGTGGGAAGCTGAGATATAATCTGGGCCTCCACTCCTCTAGCTATAGCAAAGCCTACCCCAATGAAGATATGATCTGCAGCACGAGTCCCAATGTCTTGTGTCGCCGTGAACTTCTAAACCCACTTCATCAACACAACAACCTCCTTCTCTAATTCCCCAAGCGAAGAAAAGGAGAAGGGAATGAAACCATATCCAATCAGCTGACAACTAGCTTCATACTTCACCCACTTCCGATGAGCCGCATCAGCCACAACCCGTCCAGGAACAAAGTCAGATAGCCCTGTCTGTGTCAAAGGAGAAGACCAAGTTAAGTCCACACATACATCGCGACCACGATCCCAGGAATAAAGTAACACATCTGCTGGTCTGAGGGCCCCTTCATTTCCTCCAGACAACCCTATGTCAACCTCCTTTCTTGTTGAAATCCCATATTTGTAGCAAATATCAACAAGGGTATCCCGGACAACATTATGCCAATGTTTAATACCCACAATACCAGCACACGACACGCGTGATCACCGAAAATATCCCCAATAAAAACCCGAGAACAGGCAGAGCACGGCGTCGAGATAGAGAACAATGGAACACCCATCTGGTAGCACAACACACAACGGTAGGTCTTTGCGCTCATCGTCTGACCCAACCCAGAAATAGGGACCGCCCGAAGCCAAGAAGAGGTGTGATATCCCTGCTGCGATTTCCACAATGTTGTTTGCCGAGGAGACAAAGAAAAGGCGGATTCTGCAAAAGCGATAACCTTTGTGAAATATATATCTGCCAATTTCTTCATGAGTTTTGGGGCAGCAACCTCACTAGGATTACTCATAATGTCAGACTCCACCGTTCTATTGAACAAGCTCAACGCATCCTCAAAGGCTCGACCAAGGCCAACAACGCCAACATGCCGTAGAAGCTTTATCTGCAACCCAGCAGACTGTAACCGCGAAACAAGAAAAGCATAATGACGAACATCACATGCGAAGAAAACACCAAGCCCGCCATACGCAAAAGGCAAGGTGGCAAGCCGCCACTGACAATCGCCAAACCCAGGCCCTGAAGCAATAAGGAAGATTGAAGAGCCCCGTCAAATGTGCGCTCAGCCGTCTCAAAAGTACTAGGAGGACAAGTACGCAATGCAAAGTAGAGTTTAGAAACTCCGGTACAAGCCCTAAGCAACAACAGCTCGCACTGAGGATCATCAAGCTTAGCAACCCTATCCATAAGCGCAATGGTCTTGGTCACCCTCTGCATCACAAGCTCACCTCCAAAACTGGAATCGGAACTAGCGGGACCACCAAGCAACTTAACACCACGCAAGGGTCGAGCAATATTAGGTGGAAAGACACCCACAAGCCCGCTTCAAGGGTCTTCTAAAGGCCAGAAAACTTCAGTTTTTTCCACGTCAAGATGTAACCCAAAACGAGGCCCTTCTTCCATAATCAACTACAGAACCTTCCCCACCACCAACGTGTCACCAATAACAATGTCGTCATCCAAATACCAAGCCTGAAGACATACATCAAAAGTGTCTCTGATTTTACATACCTGGGGTTGTAAAACCAAAGCAAAAAGCATAGGACCAAGGGGATCACCCTGCTGCACCCCCTTGAGACGACCATAAGGTGTGGTACCCGTAAAACAATCTAGCTGGATTAGAGTAGCAGAATTCAACCCATCGCGAAAGGACCGAACAACGACGACGAACTTCATGTAACATGACTGCACGATCAACTAGATTAAAGGCATTTTGAAAATCCACCAATAACATAGAAATACCAACATCGGAACCACAATCCTCAATCAACCGATTCACAGCATGAAGAATTGTCTCATCTCCCGAAGAAACCCCAACACCAAATTGGAGACCATCAAAGTAACTTCCTAAAGACTGGCAGATCCTAACAACACTGACCTTCGAAACTAGACACCGCCAAATAGTACCCACAGCTATAGAACGAATACCACCACCAGGCTTGACAAGTGGTGTAAGAGGAGCACTAGCAATATACTCTCCTAGTTCCATAGGATACTTTCCAGCTAAAAAGAGATTAACCACCCCGGTAATAAAGTCAACTAACTCATCTGATATAGCCACAGCAACACCACTCAAGCAATCCATAAGGTGCTGAGCACGTAAACCGTCCCTACCACATGATATATGCCATGTGGAAAACTCTTAATCTGATCCCAAACAACAACAGAAGTAGTAACGAGATGAAGGCCATCAATAGGTATATTAAGCAAGGATGGAGCTTGAGAAGTTGGGTGTTTAGACTGTAAATCCGTGAGAGTGGCATCATTATAAGGAGAAACGCCTGAAGAAGAAAGAACCCGGACTGCAGCAGTGTAATGGCCGTCACAAATCTTCCTACTTCATTGCTTGATATTACGCTCCTCCAAATCAAGGTCCTCATCACCAACCACTGAAAAAGTAGGAGAATCCTCTGCTAAAGCATCCCTCACAAGTTGCAAAATACCACCTGGTGCACTCCAAGAACAAATAGCACGGGAAATACTCTCTTCTTGATGCCGACGTGTTACCGAAGATCTAGACTCAGAGCTGCTCCGCGGGTGAATGGTTTTAAGGGTGCAAAGAGGTAACACCAACAAAGAGGCCTAAAGATCACCTTATCAAGGGCACCTTTCAGAACCCGACAAAACCCTAAGCAACACTTGGGAGGTATAGACTTCACAGTACGAAACCCCTTGGAGATTAAACAATTAAGAAGAGCCACATCAAAACCACAATGTTGATCTTGCACCGAACCACCTATGCGCCCAAGCTGAGCCGGAGAAGAGGGAGCTTACGGCCTGGA